TATTAATATCATGGGTAGATACTTGAAGATAACCAAAATATGATTAACCAAAATATTAATATTACACCATGCTCTCCTTTAATTTAATTAACCATATTTATTTCATTAGCCACTTTCGTTTGACTTCTTTCCTTTTCATGATTTGACCCAATGTTGAATTTTTAACCACCCATTCAATGGTTATATCATTGCTTGCGTTCATAGCCGTCAAAATAGCTAGAGATTTTCATAAATTTGGCATTCGCTTCAAGAAATGCTTTTGAACCAACAAGTCTAAAATTATAATTATTTTCACTCACTTCAAGGATGTGAAAATATGACTTTTCAACATTAGACATAACATTATATTGAAAAATCCTTAAATTAATAATAAGGATTGTTGTCAACCATTCACTGCTACTTAAAGAACAAAATGATATAATTTCTCATATACCAATAAGGATATTTTTAAACACTCATTACTACTGCAGGATTAATTGCATAGTAGTAATTGCATTGCAATGGCACCATCGAGCCGTATGGGCGTTGTAGTGCCTCGCCGCAAGAAATCGCGTCGCGCCGCACTGAAAGGCAATAGCGGCCAATGCTATCACATTTGCGGCCAAATCGCGGCCATATTGTTGTCATAAGGCGATTATCAATTTTGTCCTAATTTGAATGTATAACTGAAATTTTTTAAGGGTTTTTTAGTCTATTTGCATCTTTCTTTTTCACTTATGTTATCTCTGTCTTTAAAAAACATTTCTTCTTGTCATATATCTATTCCGTTATTTTCGCAACCGCAACCCGTTATAGCGCTATGTTGGCCGCGTCATGCCACAATTCGCATTTGATAACTTAAAGACTAAGAGGATATACATTGTCAAATGCTTAATATCATTTCATACCTATTACTTCAGGGGCAGGATGATATATGTTATCAAATATCTAATAATTTTTTTCAAATATTCATTATTACTTCATGAGCATGAGACACTTACTACTAGAGTATATATATGAAGATGTATAATGTCTCAAATATCCAATAGTGTTATTGCAACAAGCAATTAACTTATTTTAACAAAAGCATTGAAAAGTTCAACTTTGAAATATTAAGCAACCACCAAACACCTACCACTCTGGCAGTGACACACTGGCCTACATTTATCATGAACTTTGTAATATGTTTTATATATAGTTCGTGAAATTGGATCCCACAAATTCAATTTCTATTATTCTATGCGACTTTAATAAAGACAAACAAACAAAGTCATATAAACTACTAAGGCTTAAAGATGCCAATTAAGCAACTAATAGGAAAGCATTTGTCTCCTTGTTGACTATTTATTTCAAAACTTTGTAGGACGATAATATGATAAAAAAAATAGCCACTTAACAAAATAATACTATCAAGGAACAACTATTAGAATCAGCAACGCGTGGTGGGTGAATATTTTGTATTAAGCGCAACAAAGAATTTCAGTCAGCATTCAGCAACGCGTGGTGGGTGAAGAAGGGTTTGCATCATCCACTATCTCACGCAGCTAAATTGTACTTCGTCAACTTTTGCTCACAGACTAATATATCTCTAATGGATAATATTGGGTAGTATGTGATTAATTTTGAGTCTTGTCATTCTTTTTCCGGAATCACAGAAATTACTACAATTATTTTCAGATATGACATGTATTTAAAGGATATCTTATGTTGACATATATAGGCTCTTTGACCCATTTGAGGTTTTTACCCCTTTAATTTGTCAATGTAATATTTGGTTCACGGTAATATAGATCAGGGTAATGTACAAATTTATATATATTTATGGGTTTATTATTTATTATGTTGTAGAAGATATATATATATATATATATATATATATATATATATATATATATATATATATATATATATATAAGCGCGAATCAAATGAACCGAATGTATCTATAGAAAAAATGGATATGTTATAGACACATATATGAGTATTTTTTGTAAGAAAATGGACCCTATTCTATTTTCGGGAGTTACAACTATCCATTGCAAAAAATTCAATTCTTATTGTTCAATTCTATCTAAACTGTTCATTTTCAAATGATATCCACAGTGCTCACAAATATTCATTTTGGATTGAAACAATTTCTTATAATTTAATCCATAACAATTTTCACATCGGTGCTTGAAACAATTTTGTCTTCTCCATATTACTATATCTCTAGAGTCCATAATCTTATATGAAGAGCTACTGAACTCAATCACTTGCTGCCGTTACTCTTCAGTTTTCTATTGAGGCGGCATATAGATATATATATATAGGAATATGTTATTTTATCTACCATATTTTCTGCCAACTTTTACCTACCATTCTCTAATATCGTTAGATCAGAATTTAAAGAGAAGAGAAAAAAAATGTTAATTAAGATTATGATCTAATGGTCTTTTAGAGTGGTAGGCAAAGATAGAAAAAAAATAGATAGAGTGATAGACTAACTTATCCCCTATATATATATATATATATATATATATATATATATATATATATATATATATATATATATATATATATATATATATATGGGGAGGGTTCTTTTAATGTAATTAATTAATTAATATAACTTCCTAAACTATAACCGTTGGATGGAAGGAAATCAACGGCTAGGATGGGGAGTAAGACTTATAAGTCTTACTCTAGAATCAAATGATCTCTCTCTCTCTCTCTCTCTACATATATATATATATATATATATATATATATATAGGGAAAAATATTTCTCAAGCAGCTTAAGATAAGTTTATCTCCAGCCACTCCAAAACTACGTCATTTTATTTATTTATTTCCTTATATTAATTTATTCACCTTTGAATGGTTATGATTCTATTTTTCTCTCTCTTCCTTTATCACCATTGACCAATCTTTATACGGTTATGATTTAGTAATCGGAGAGAAAATTATCTCAAGCAGCTTGAGAAATGATAATCCCATATATATATATGTATATAAGTATGTGAGAGCATTTTTTTTCTCATACCACACACACACACATATGGAGAGTTATAGTTACTAATTCTTTTTCTTATTATCTCTTACTACTAAATCTTAACCGTTGATTTTTGTCAATCTAACGGTCATAATTTATTGGGTCATACTTATTAATTAATTATTAATTTCTAATAAATTATAACCGTTAGATTGATGGAAATCAATGGTTAAGATTTGATAGTAAAAGGTATTAAGAAAAAGAGGTAGTAATTATAAGTGGGATCAATGTTATCAAAAAAAAATAAAAAATAATCCTGACCCATATATATATATATATATATATATATATATGATCATTTAATACTTGTGTCAAACTTTGAAATTTGACAACAAATACTAATCGTTGATTTTCGCTAATCAACGGTTATCATTTATTGAGAATTAATAATTAATTAAGAGGTATGTAATGAGATAAGAGCCCCCGGGCATCATAAGACACACAACAGAACCCTCAGGGGCGAAGGCCTCAAGCCTCAACTTCACCACTCCCTAAGACTAAAGCCTCTTTATCGGATTTTCAAAAGGTAAGAAAGGGCGTAGTCTTAGAAGGAGAGAGAGAAGTGGTAAGTGAGTTAAAACATTTATCACATTCCCAATCTCCCGATAGGGAGTATGGAGCCAGTGCCGGTATCGACAGCTGCCATATAGAGGCACCACTCCCGTGCAGCGGGAGTTTCGAGCAGGTAGCGTTCTCCCGGATAATCCCAGTTAGGACCCTTTCGGGCTCCTCCCTCCCCCCCCCCCAAAAAAAAACACAAATTGTACGTGATAGTTTCCCTTCATACGACTCAAATCATTCTTATATGCCTCGAGGCATCCTTTCCTTGTTTGTTGGGTCGGTTCATGCGCGCGCAAACGAGCATTGGCCGCAACAGCAGGGAACTATGACCAATAGAGTCAGACACTTAGCTACATCCGCACGCAACAGGAATGTGTGTGTGTGGGGGTTCTTTTGACTCTTGTGTAAGACTTTTAAGTCTTACTACACATCGTGGCCGTTGATGGACGGAAATCAACGGTTGTCATTTGTAGTATAATTAATAATTAATTAACATGACTTCCTAAATAATAACCATTAGATGGAGAGTAAGACTTTCAAGTCAAATGATTTCTAATATATATATATATGATCAAGATCATTTTACACCAGTATAAGACTAATAAGTCTTACACCACATCTCAACCGTTGATTTCCGTGCATCCATCGATTATAATTTTGGAAGTCATGCTAATTAATTAATTAATCATTAATGACACTATAAATACCACCCGATGATTTTCATCCATCAACAGTTGAGATGCAGTGTAAGATTTGTCAGTCTTATACTGGTGTAAAAAGAACCTGTCCCCCCACCATACACACATATATATGTATATGTATGTATATATATATGAGGTAGGAGGATCCTTTGACACCGGTGTCAAATTTTAAATTTGACACCTCATCTAATATTCGCTAGATAAAAAAAATCAATGGTGTCACATGCTTGCAAATCAAAGTCATTGATTTTTTTTGAGCTAACGACTCTCAGATGATGTGTCAAATTTCAAATTTGACACTGGTGTTAAAGGATCCTACAAATTTCAAAATGCTGTAGGATCTTTTGACACCAGTGTCAAATTTAAAGTTTGACACCTCGTCTGAGAGTCGTTAGATCAAAAAAGATTAATGGTGTCACATGCTTATAAATCAGAGTCGTTGATCATTTTTAATCTAATGACTCTCAGATGAGGTGTCAAAGGATCCTACCTCTATGTGTATATATATATATATATATATATTTGACACCTCATCTGAGAGCTCTTAGATCAAAAAAATCAATAGTATCATATACTTACAAATCAGAGTCGTTGATCTTTTTTTTCCTCTGATAACGATCAAATGAGATGTGAACTTTCAAATTGTGCGAAAGCATCCCACCTCGTTTACATATATTATATTATATTATATGAAGCTCCCACTCCATTTTCGATTTGGTTTGGGTTCCCTCCTCTGCACATTCTGTACTTTCAATTCTCTCTTGTCTTCCCTTCTTTGCGTCTCTGAGAGGTCTGAGGATGAACCTCGTACTAATTGACACCATTTTCACATAATCGGGGTTCTTTATAATCTTAACTAATAAACAATACCTCCAAAAATGGGAGATAACAAACGTAAGAGGGGACGCAAACCCAAAAACCCCGCCTCCGAAACCCTAGACTTACCCTCCAACACCACAGCCGCCGCCGCCGCCCCTAACACCACCACAACCACCGCCGCCACCACCAACAACAACAATACCAACCATTCCACCATGGACGACGTCTTCTCCGTCGGCAACGTCGAGCTCATCGACAACACAACTTCTCCCGATCTCCGTCGCCGCCGCGGCCGACCCAAGAAGCTGCCCAACCACTCCGACAAGCCCCCCGCTCTTGCCACGGGGCGCCGCCTCGCTCGCCCAATTGACAACTCCGTCGATTGTACGGTTCCCGGCGGCGAAGTCGGGGGCTCCGCCGCGGTGGCCATGGAAACGGAAGTGGACCCGGCGTGGGAGAGCGTTTCGGATAGGGTGTTGCCGGCGATGGACTCGGTGGTGAAGGTATTTTGCGTGCACACGGAGCCGAATTTTTCGCTGCCGTGGCAGAGGAAGAGACAGTACAGCTCAAGTAGCAGTGGGTTTGTGATCGGGGGAAGGAGGGTTCTCACCAATGCGCATTCTGTGGAGCACTATACACAGGTCAAGCTCAAGAAACGTGGCTCTGACACTAAGTACTTGGCCACTGTACTTGCCATCGGAACTGAGTGTGACATTGGTAACCTCTTTCTCTTCACCCTTCACACATATCTCTATCTGTAACCAAGTTGGTTCTATGTATTATTCGTCTTCTGATTTTTTATTTTTTTATTAATTTATGTTAATATGTATCAAATTGGAAATCGTATTAATTTTGGAAAAAAAAAAATTAGTTTTGGAGTTGTGATTCATGATAATAAGATGTCTTCTTCTATGAGAATAGTGTAATGTAGTTTTTGGGAAGCGAACATTTAATAGAGTTCCATTTTGCATTTTCTTTTATTACACTTTGCTTAGTTATTGCTCAGTCTTTCTTCAATTTTATGCGTCTTGTTTTGCATGTGAAGACTGAATCATTCGGTGTACATGATATTGAAAAGTCGAGCATAATTAATTTTGTGTAATGTATTAACTTTGAATATTTCAGGAGGAGGAATAGAGTAGAATCGTAAGACAATAATGAATAAATGAAGGATACAGCTATTATATGAAAGCAGTTACAAGGATCATAAAACAATAATTGTGAGGATGAAGAATAAGTTGTTGTGTGGAGCCTCCTCATTATGTGGCTTTAGCTTTACTAATTTACTACATCCTAACAAGCACAGATACATACTAGGAAGCACGGATACGACACTGGGACATAGATACAATACAATGAAGAACAAGGGGGTGCATTGAATTTTAGAAATTATTGAACACAACTCGGCTATTGTACAACTCAATAAAATTAGTGTAAATTTAGCATAAAAGAACAAATCTTCAATTAGAAGAGAGAATCAATGTTTTAGAAGTTAGCATTAGTTAGTGAAATATTATCATTTTTCTAATTATTTTAGTATTTCCATTTGTATTTATATAAAAATTTCAAAAAATAAAAGTAACAAAATTGCAAAGTGTAGTTAAGAGTATCCAAAGTGTCCGTGCTCCTTGGACTACGTCTAAAGTATCATAAACGGGGCTTTGCTAAACTTTCTAATATGAATTCAAATTAATGCATTTGATTTTACACTTGCAGCCATGCTTACAGTTGATGATGATGAGTTCTGGCAAGGGATGTCACCTGTAGAGTTTGGGGATTTGCCCACACTTCAAGATGCGGTCACTGTTGTGGGCTACCCAATTGGTGGAGACACTATTTCTGTGACCAGTGGTGTTGTATCCCGCATTGAGATTCTATCTTATGTCCATGGCTCCACTGAACTTCTAGGTTTACAGGTTATGTTGAAATGATTGATTTTTCACCTTTTTCATTTAGTTATGATTCATTTAACATATCCTGATTTTCCTTCATCAATGTTGTTTTTGCAGATAGATGCTGCTATAAATTCTGGCAATTCTGGTGGGCCTGCATTTAATGATAAAGGAATGTGTGTGGGGATTGCATTTCAGTCCCTCAAGAACGAAGATGTGGAGAATATAGGATATGTCATTCCGACACCAGTTATCATACATTTCATCCAGGATTATGAGAAGAATGGAGGATATACTGGTAAATATGGTTGCTATGAACTAAGATGTATATTTTACTTTAACAAGCTGTTACCTCAGCATGGTAAAATTTTCAAGCATTGAAGTTTTATCTACTAAGACCTTTCTCTCTCAATCTGCTGTTAGGGTTCCCTATTCTTGGGGTTGAGTGGCAGAAAATGGAAAATCCTGATCTACGAATGGCAATGGGCATGAGACCTGATCAGAAAGGTGTGCGTATTAAAAGAATTGATCCTACTGCTCCAGAATCTAAGGTTTTGAAGCCATCAGATGTTATCCTTAGCTTTGATGGAGTTGATATTGCCAATGATGGAACAGGTTAGTGGTTATGTTTCAGTTTCTTTATACATTTATGCATGCTATGTAGCTCATACTTGTTTAGGTGCAATTTGTTTAGCTACTAAATTTTTTTCTTGGGAGGACTTGTCATTTCTTATTTGATAGCAACTATGATAAGAAAGTAGTTTTAAACGTGTGACTGCTTTTAGTCACAATGACAGCATTCTCCACAGTATGGCTCTCATATTTTGATCTTTTACATAAAATACCAGTTTTGTGGCTAAGAAAGTGCCTTGCAAAATATCGTAATAACTTGGAACTTCTGTGAAGAATGTAAACACTCCACAACTGTATATATACGATTGTTGGGATCTCTATCTCTGCAGATCTGTCCATTTTTAATACTTGCTATTTGGATTAGTACTTCTTATATGGCTTAGGTTCTGTTCTACTAGTTTCAGTTTAGATACAAAGAAGAGGAAAAACGAAACTCTGCCATCTCTAATTAGTCATAATACTTTTCTTGATCACTTCTAGATCTTATTATGCAGTTTAATGATAGAGCCAGTCTATATCCATGCACTGTTTTATGTGTGTATTTAGGTAGCAATCACGAGACTTTGTGTAATTGAATCATCTTGCCTGTGGCCAATATTAAATATATCAACAGTTTGAGCTTAACAGTCTGTCATGTAATGCTTTACACTCCTGGTGTTCTTTTCAGTTCCTTTTCGTCATGGAGAGCGCATTGGTTTCAGTTATCTCATATCCCAGAAGTATACTGGGGACGAGGCAGCAATTAAAGTATTGCGAAATTCAGAAAATTTCAAATTTGACATTAAACTCGATAGTCACAAAAGACTTATTCCAGCACACAGCAAGGGCAGGCCTCCCTCATATTATATTATTGCAGGATTTGTTTTTACAACTGTTTCAGTTCCATATCTTCGTTCTGAGGTTTGTGGTTAATCCAGCATCCCTATGCTTTAATAGTGCAGCTATTGGGTGACTAGGTGATGCTGTTGGTTTTTTCTATTGTTTATAGTATATATTGTTCTCTGTATGTTTCTTTGTCCAAGACTCCAAGTGGTATTTAAGTGTCTGATAAATGGAAAATTGTTTGTTATTGCTGCATGAAACTTAATGCAGTGATCATTATTGCTGAGATTATTGATGTTTAGAAGTTTAACATTATTTGTGTCTGATGGGCCTATGTGGGCTGAAAGGGAAGGAATGAGTGAATTAGTTAGTTAGTTAGGGAAATATTCTAGAAGGTTCTTGGTTGATACGATATAAGGGAGGGGAGTGTGTGTAGTGAGGTATGCATGTATTGAGTAAATTTGGAGTGGATCTGGGTAAGGATTTCTTAGGTATGTTGGCTTTGAGGGTGAGTTGAGGTCTTTTGGTTTATCTTTCTTGCATTGTCATTTAATTACTGTCTTGTATTTTTGTTGCTGTTTGAGTCTGTATTCAGAGTGTTGAGGCTCTGTTTCTTGCTGTTATCAGTATTGTAAAGGAGCTTGTCTCCTCCGAACAATTGCATTTATAGAAATATGTCAGTGGTTTGTGGTCATTTTTCTGGGTTCTATCAGTGTGATTTAAAAATGTTACACTTAACTACTGTAGTGATATAATGAACAGTGCTGGTAAATTTATTACACAGCTTTCATGGATGAGTAATGTGGTTCAGTTTTCATTGCAATATAAATTCTTTTCCTGCTATCTGCTGCATTTAGATGGCCCATAATGTGTAATGAGCTCTATGTAAGGGACATGGTCCTCTGTATAAAAGTTGGAGCTGGTGGTTAAGCTGTTTACAATAGATATGTATTTAGTCCAGTTCAATATGTATCTTCCTGTGTTAAATCTAATCAAGTCTAGTCTATCTAGTGACATGTAGGGTTTTATAATTTACCGTTATTTGAAGTTTTCACTATTAAGGTGTCAATCATGATGTGAGCTGTGCATATTACACCTTGTAACTTGTAGCTTTATGAGATACTTTACTTAGGGATTAATTATTAAATTCATTAATACAACCTGTAATTGCTATGCTTTCCTGTGGAGCCATTTCCAACTCATTTTTTTTCATGTATGAACAGTATGGAAAGGAGTATGTGTATGAAGCTCCAGTCAAGCTTTTGGATAAACTGCTGCATTCATTGCCACAATCACCAGATGAACAACTTGTTGTACTCTCTCAGGTACGCTCTATCTGTCAGTCTTTCTTTCTGCTGTTTCTCTTGAGTCTGATTATCTCTTTGACACATTGAAGGTGCTGGTGGCTGATATCAACATTGGATATGAAGATATTGTTAACACCCAGGTTGATAATGGCTATGCTCCATTTTTTTTTCTTGTTGATAGCTATATATTGGCTTAACCACTTAATTGTTAACTGCCTTCTATTCCGTATACTTGTGAAGGTCCTTGCTTTCAACAGTAAACCCGTGAAAAATCTTAAGAGCTTGGCCAGTATGGTAGAGAGCTGCGATGATGAATATTTTAAATTTGATCTAGATTATGATCAGGTGCCTTCTCCATCCCTGTGTTTTTTGTGTTTATGCGAAAATGGCATGAGCTCTTTTATTAACTCATCATCTTCTATGCAGATAGTGGTCCTTCGTGCGAAGACTGCAAAAGCAGCTACTCTAGATATTCTTGCAACACATTGCATTCCATCAGCAATGTCTGATGATCTTAAGTCATGATCTGGATCATATTGTAGGTAGATTCGGCATCTAGTTAAAAAAGATACAGATGTGTAGGCTGGAATGTTTCATTTTATGTTTTTAGTTAGATTGTTTCCCTGCATGATATTGGGAGTTATGGAGTGTTTCATGTTAGTGGTAATTTATCTTGGGACTGATGATTCCGCTTTTTGCAAGGAATCGTAGATAGCTAAGCAGGATTTACAATTAATTGTCTTAAGTTACATTTTCCTTTTTGAATTTTGAGGGAACTGAGCTATGCAAAGAGTTTCTATTACTTTCACCAATGATATCTTTTTGACTTGCCCAGTGCGGGCAATACAAAACAGAACCATATACTATTAAAAGTCTCCTGAAAAATAAAAGGTTTTTTCATAATTGATCTCTTTTGAATAAGTTGACGAAGATGAACTAGCAGACACCGGTCAATGGTTATGCTATAACATTGCTTTCATGGCGACTCTAGTAGAGGACTCGCTTGGGCAGACGGGGATGATAGTGTATCAACTTCGAGGCTTTTGTAATTCCCTTCTCTGGATTGTGCCCACAGTACTGTGTAAAATCCGAGGGCGATTACTAGTGCGCCAATGACACTGAAAGCAGAATGGAAATACAATGAACAAAGTCAATAGAAAGCAGGTGTGTCTGCAAAGTTACATATAAGACAGAGATGTTGGTTACACTGAAATTTCAATTACACATCAACCATTACTTCTCTAATAGGTGTGACAAAAAGCGCTATTTAATATACTCTTTTGAATACATTATTTGATGTACTTTTGTTTTTAGGAATGGGTGAATTTTATTTGAGTTTTACTACATAGAGAGTGGGTTCTGATCATTTAATGGGATTCATATAAAATTTACTCAATAATAAAGAGTGCATTTAAAAAAAAAAATGTATGAAAAAATATGATGCTGGCATTTTATAATGGTTTTTGCGGTAGTCTCTAGTGCATTCTTCTGGCGACAACTTGACATTTGATAACAAATCCCATCGTCCAAGTAAACAAGATAGCAAAAGAATATTTTCCAAGTGAGGGAGTAACCTGCCAACATAAAGTGTCTCACCAAGGAAGACAACACTCATAAAGGCAGCAATGGCAATCCCCACAGGCTTGAACATGGTAACAAATACAGGTCCTTTCCTATTTATGCACCAAGTCAGTACAGAAAATGTCACCACACTCCCGAAAGTTGCCTGCAACATTGGTTTCCACATAGGAATGAGTTTTGCATTAAACCCTCATGATTTACAACTATATATGTGCGTACTTTCTTAGTTTTTTTTTTTTTTTTTGGTTGCTAGTATATATTTACCGAATAGAGTATGGAGATGAGCTCAATGTCAGGCTTTAGATTCCAAGCATTTGAATCTCTGACTACAATAACAGAAAGTATTGCACATTGGATGGTTCCAAATAGGCAATAGAAGGCTACTATGGTCAACTGAGATGGATATCCTTTAAGAATTGCTGCCTGCAGATATGCTCAACCAATTCAGATCCATATTCTTATAAACCATCACTAAAATTGAAGACCATAGCACCTATTTAGTTAAGTGGTCTAAATATCTAATCAAACTAGGCGTCTCACCTGAGCAATATTCCAAACTGCAAGAGATAAAGAGGCAATGGCAAGGAAGATACCCCCAATGACCCAGCTACTGATTTCAGCCAACATTGATGGGGATGGTTGTGATGGAGAGGGTTCAATTCTAAAGCTGCCAATGGGAGTGCCCTTGTAAAGGGTCACAAGTAATGCTCCTGAGATCGAAAGCACTGTGCCCATGATTTTGATCTGGCTTATTGAGCTTCCAATATCCAACTTCTCCATCCTAGAATGGTTTTTAATGCAGTAAAAATATCACCCAATTGTTATGCATATCCAAAATGATCATTTCGCTGTTGTCCAAAGAACCTCCACAAAATATTTCCGTTACATTCCCAATGCTCCAAGTAACAAGCAACAACATATATTTTATAAAACCAAGTTGTAAATTGTAATTATAAACCATGTGGTACAATGTGTTAGGAAAACTCCTTATCTATATAGTTAGAGTAGAGTTATATTTGCAATTTTTTTTTTTACGAACTTACAAATTACACTACGTCTGATTGGTAATACTCTACTTAAGAGTGTATTATCGATCAAACATAATGTAACGTGTAAGAGTTTGTAGACAAAAAATTTCTAAATATAACCTTCCCAGTATAATTATATTATATAAGATAAAGTAAAAGAAAAGAGCCTAATTACCTGAAGATGACAGCTAGCACAAAAGTAATTGCTGGAGTCAAGTTGCTCATGGCAGATCCAAGAGTGGGAGAGCTGTAGCTTATGCCAGTGAAAACACAATTCTGCATGACAGTTATGCTGCAAATCTTCCAAAATTACCTTTATAACCCAAAATTACCTTTATATTTTTTTTCTACTCAGAAAGGAACAAGTAAAATGGATATAATGCAATTACATACATACCCAACAAGGCCAAGGAGGAAGAATTTGCAGAGAAGGGAGAAAGAAAGGGGGGGTCTTGTTGATTTTCTGCAAACAAGAAGAAAAGAACTTGATAGTGTTGGTGAAGAGAAATAGTGGGGAGAGGGAAAGAAGCTTAGACCTGTTGATGATGAAAGAGGAAGGAAGGAGAATCAAAGTAGCAAGAGCATTTGAGTAAACAACAAAGACGAAGTGGCTCATTCCTCTGGACATGGCTGCTTTACTCAGTGTTGCTAACCCAACATCAAGAAACTCCACAATCACCATGGCTGCAAATGGAGTCCATTCAACCAAAAAGCTTCTCAGTCCCATTTTAACTTTCTCCCTCTCCCTCTCTCTCTCTCTCTGTGTGTGTGTGTAAGTTTAACAGATCTTTTGATTTGGGTATTAAGAGAATCTACCGAAATTGTAAGCAAGCAAAGCAATGATTACTAGAGTTCCAAGTGTTCATTGTTGCAATGTTGCTCTGGTCAACGCATACAGCCATATCTACTTTTGTACGGAAACCATTTCCTCTCCAAAAATTATATCTTTTTGACAAAAAAAAAAAAAAGTAGCAAACTTATCTGTTAAATTTATTTACAGATATAATTGTAAACAATTTTGATTTCTTTTTATTAAGGGAGATGTTATATTTACTGTTGTTATTTAATGTCATTTTAGGTTATAAATATGGAAAAGAATATTGTAACGTTACTGTTAATGTTACTACCAATCAATTTAATCGTTTAATTAATTATGTTAATTCAATAGTTATATTTATTTTTATTTTCATTTTTGTATGGTTATGATTTTTCATAATTAATGCTTTTACATTAAATATGAGGAATCATAATCATATAAAAATGAAAATAAATATAATCGTTGGATCAACATAATTGATCTAACGGTGTAATTGATTGGTAGTAATATTGGTAGTAATACTAATTGGTTGTTACACTATCCTACTCCTATAAATATAACCTCCTTCCTTTATTCAATTATGTAAAATTTGAGTAGTATATTTTTTTTTTAAAAATGGTAAGGAAATAAAAATCCATTAATTTAGCACATAGAAATCAACTAAAGTAACAATTAACTGGATTATAAAATGTGAAAGAGAGGTATGGAGTTTATTTAAAAAAAAGTTTAGGCCAAGAAAGATATTCTTGGAAGTTTCCGACACACCTTGAATCCGAGAATGTCTTGAATATTTTTTACTTAATCTTTTTCTCAATCGATCATGGGCAAATGTAGCAAAATCACATTCAATAGAGGTAGGTACAAACACATCCATCCTATTAACTATTAGATGTGATATCCATCTCAAAAATAAATAAATATTGAATGCGATATCATATTTTTATTTATTTTTTTTCTTTCTATTTTCTATTTTATTTTATGGAAGAAAACGTGTATTTGAATCACTTCTCTCGTGTGTATATATTTATATATAATAAGCTGCCTCGAACTGACTTGTGTCGTTGATGAAATTGTGAATTTATTTTGTGATTAAATCGGGCCTATACTAATAATTATTAGCTACCAAACACTTGACGTATAAGAGTAGAAATGAGAATAAGTGTTTATCTTTAGGATATATTTAAAGTTTTAATTTGGATCCGCCCCAAATTTTAAATTAGTTCATGAATTTACAAATACTTTTCAATAAATAAATAATTATTGACTCAAGTAATTAGTTTATCCTTTTAATTAAAAATTACGAGTTTGAGATATATGAATAAAAAAAATAGCACCTATAAAGCAGTTTTAAGTATAATTGAGTTGCTAAAACTAATGAAAAAAAACTAATTAGCGATTGTTTGGAAGATTTTTTTATAGTTTCTCTTCTTCTTATAAGTAAAAATTAGGCCAAACAAATTTTTATAAAAACTCTTATAATAAAAAGAGTCTTTTTATAATAATAAAAAAATTAAAAGTTAAAAACTTTTAAATGAGTTTTTTTAAGTTGTATTAGATCTTTTTTAAAATGAAAATTTTTTAAGCTAAAATTTTTATATAATCATCAAACAGTTTGTAGCTTTATTTTTAAACTTTTTTTTTTAGTTTTAGTTTAAAAATAACTTTTTACTTAAAAAGAGAGAGAGAGAGTTAGTATGTGTATTTATTTTTTTTTTCGGGACAAAGTGTGTTCTTTCAAAGGATATATAAACTTATGTCATTTTACCTCTTACAGTTATAATATGAAAGTTACTTTTTTATCTCTTTCTAAGTCAGTTGATAAGTTTCTAAAAAAAATTTGAAGAGAAAAAATAATAATTTTAATATTATAATTATGCATTTTTCTGAGTTTATAATTATAAAAAAATAAAATATCATAAGTTTATATTTTTTACGAGGACAAATAATTTTCAAAAAAAAAATATAAAATAGGCTCTTAGGGGCTGTTTGGAAAACGAATTTTTTTCGGATTCTCGAAAAACTGAAATTTTTAAAATTTTAAATTTTCAGATATTATCATAAATTGAATATAAAAATTATATTTTTAAAAATCGAGTAAATAAAAATTTCTCGCACCCCATTAAACTTTTTTCTCTTCTTGGGAAAGTTGCCTTAAACCTTTTATCCACTCAAACGGAACCTGGTTTTCAAAACCCACGGGTTCGGTGTTTTTTTTTTTTTCATCTCATTTATTTCATAACCAGAGAACCTCATTGTCGCTTCCCTTCTTCAAGGTTGTCCAATTAGGGTTCAACGTGGTTTGATCGTCGGTTTTTTGCATCATCATGGGTAGTTCGGAACCCAGTACCGAAGAATTTTTTCAAGAGAAGAAGCGCGTCAGGAACCCTTTTGTGCCCGTTGGTAAGAAAAAGAAAAATCATCACTTTATTTTACGTTTTCCTTGCTTATTATTTATCTTGGATTTTACGCTTTTCATTTTTAGTTGTTGATATCCTTGTCTGGTTATATTCATGTACGCTTTTTCATATTTCAATTTATTTATCGATGGCATATTGATATTGCAGAAATTTTTAATGAATTTCGGGATTTTATTTATTTAGTTTTTTTGCCTCCAAATTTTTTACTGAAATAAAGGGAAAGAGGATGGGATTGAGAAAAAGTTGAGAAGTTTTATAATTAGGGAAGAACATTGGTATAAAAGATTTATTTGATGGTTTTGGGGTGTAAGGAATTGCTATAATATGACCTAGGAGGGGCCTATCTCCCATGGTGCCAATTACAGGTGGTGTAGTGTAGGAGGGTTGGGGAATTAGGATTGCTATAAGAAATGAGGGTAACATGGAAATGGGAGCATTATGCTACTGGAATTGTCTAATGAGAATTTTTTTTATAACTTGGAGATGTTCCTGACGAATACAGTGTTGAGTGGAAATTATATAGGTTTATAATGCTGCATTACTCATATGCGTGAGATATAACTTAGAAGCTAAGATTTACCTGTTTTAGTTGGCATCTTGATGTGTGTGATTTTCATTGTTTTATTGATCTTGAATCTGATCATATATCATCAGGATTAATTGCATGGCCATTACTTTGTGAAGGATGAGATATTAGTGGCCATTACTGAGGTTGCTGAATTTTATACATAAAGCTTGAATTTACCGACTTTGGATGTAATCAATCAAGTTCATAGATTGCTTTTGCTGACCATTGAATGCTAGGATTTAAGAAATGATTCCTGCAACCTAGATATTATAACTTTTACTACTCTTTTTTCTTTTTTTTGGGGGGGGGGGGGGGGGGGGGTGGATCAAGGATTGTTGTTCAGTTTTTCAACATTGAAATTGTGAAGGACATAGGGGTAATGGTAGCATTTTGGTAGGGATTTATCTTTCTAATGAACGCTATCTTTCACCCTGCATGCAAAGAGAGGCGGACACCCCCCCCCCCCCCCCAAAACCACCACACACACACACACAAAAAAAACACCCCTAAAACTTGAAAAAAAAATTATTATATGTAATTATCTGTGCAAGATAATTGAAACCAAACCCTAATTCTAGTTCAGAATTCAGAACTCCCTTTTGAAACGGCATCGAACAGACCCCAGAAGCTTTTGTTCCGTTCCGTGCATCTCCTCTCACGTGCCACCGAAGCCCGTACATGACCCAGTTTTATATGGTCTATTTTCAAACTTTCATTCAAATCTTTTGGCAGGTTTGGGCCTTTCTTGGTCTGAAATCTGAATCACATGACTTCTGAGTGCTTGTTTTAGAATTCTTAGACAAATATTTTTTTTTTACTTTCTTTTCTTTTCTTTCTTTCTTTTTTTTTTTGCTAAAAAATGATAGCGAGGATACCTTACCAAAGACAGTTAGAGAATTAAAAGTTGTCATGTGGGAACTATTGTTGAATAAACGTTAAATGTGGAGTTATGTGTCAGTTTAATTTTTAATGGGTTTAATTCAGCAATCAATTTAGTTTTTAATGGGTTTAATTCAGCAAACGTTAAATGTCAGTTTTATGTTTTTAAGTTTATGAAATTATGTGAGTTTATTGTGATGTTAAGTGTCTTTATTGTAGAGTTACAAGTTTTGTAATTTAAAAATCTATTGTTTGAATGAAAAGTTACGACTTCTGCCTTAGTAAAAATCCTTTGTTTTACTCTTCTCCTAACAAATTGGTATCAGAGCTATGGAAAGGGGGAGTGATATGGCACTACCTAAGTTGACGAAGGAGAACTACGAGAATTGGAGCATCCAGATGAAGGCTCTTCTCGGATCCCAGGACGCTTGGGAGAATGTTCAAGCAGGTTTTGTAGAACCACAGGATACTGGAGGCTATTCAGCGGCTCAAACTAAAGCGTTGAAAGAGACGCGTGCAAAAGACAAGCTGGCGTTATTCATGCTCTTCTGAGCTGTAGACGGATCCGGGTTTGAGAAGATAGCAAATTGTGAGACCTCAAAGGCAGCCTGGGACATCTTGGCAAATGTCTATAGAGGAGCTAACCGGGTTAAACAAGTCCGGCTTCAAACCCTTCGTGCCGAGTTGGAGGGAATGAAGGTGAAGGACACGGAAGGAGTATCCGGGTTCGTTGCCCGGGTTCAAGGAATTGTGAACCAGTTGAAACGGAATGGAGAAGATATACCTGACACCAGAGTGGTGGAGAAAATCTTGAGATCTTTGACAGACCAGTTCGAAAACGTGGTTTGTGCGATAGAGGAGTCCAAGGATCTGTCTACACTCACCATTGACGAGTTGGCGGGTTCCCTTGAAGCGCATGAACAAAGAAAGAAGAAGAAGGAGGAAACTCTTGAGCAGGTACTTCAGACCAAAGCAACAATTAAAGATGAGAAGATGCTCTATTCTCAAAGTTTCCGAGGTAGAGGACGTGGCCGCAGTGGACGAGGTACTAGCCGTGGTGGTAGAGGTCGAGGCCGAAGTCAAGAAGTGTATGGTGATGAGGTAGGACAGTCAAATCAACAAAACTGGAGAGGACGAGGACGAGGTCGACGAGGAGGTCGGTCACATTATTCAAACATCGAGTGTCACAAATGTGGAAAGTTTGGTCACTATGCGAAAGATTGTAACTCGGACAAGTGTTACAACTGTGGCAAAGTCGGACATTTCGCAAGAGAATGCAGAGAGGAGAAAAAGGTGGAGGAGACGTCCAACCTAGCCACAGAAGGCGAGATGAAGGATGGTGTCTTGTTAATGACACACAGTGAAGGAAGTCCTGACGATGACATGGAGTGGTATCTTGACACGGGTGCGAGCAACCACATGTGCGGACATAAACACTTCTTCAAGGAGATGATAAAAGTGGAAACCGGACATGTTTCGTTCGGGGATGCCTCAAAGGTTGAGGTAAAAGGCCGAGGTACGATTTGTTTCCTACAAAAGGACGGGTTAATTGGCTCAATTCGAGATGTGTACTATGTACCCGACCTAAAAAGCAATATTTTAAGCATGGGTCAACTGATGGAGAAAGGTTACTCGGTTATTATGAAAGACCGGGTATTGTATTTGAAAGATGAGCAAGGTCGGATGATAGTCCGAGTTCAAATGGGTAAGAATCGTATGTATAAACTGAATTTGAAATGTGTACAGGTTGAATGTTTACAAGCCGAGGTAGAAGATAAGGCGTCACTTTGGCATCTCCGGTTTGGTCACCTACATTATGGTGGTCTAACCAAGTTGGCAGAGAAAAAGATGGTGGACGGGTTACCTGACATAAACTTTGAAGGAAAGTTTTGTGAGAGTTGTGTACTTGGCAAGCATGCCAGGACCACGTTTCAGAAGATGGCAAGATTCCGGGCTAAGCAACCTCTGGAACTAATACATACCGACTTATGTGGACCCATCAATCCGGGTTCCTTCAGCGGTAAGAAGTATTTTATTTCCTTTATTGATGATTTCTCACTGAAAACTTGGGTTTACTTTCTGAAGGAGAAGTCCGAGGTGTTTGATGTGTTCAAAAAGTTCAAGGTGATGATTGAGAAAGCAACAGGAAGCTATATCAAATCGGTGCGGTCTGACAGAGGTGGGGAATATACCTCAACAGCGTTTATGTCGTTCTGTGAGGAACAGGGGATAAGGAGGTTTCTAACAGCACCATACTCACCACAACAGAATGGCGTGGCTGAAAGGAAGAACCGGACTATTCTTGACATGGTTCGGTCAATGCTGAAGAACAAAAGGATGCCGAAGGAGTTTTGGGCGGAAGCTGTGCAGTGTGCTGTGTATGTGCAGAACCGATGTCCACATTCAAGCTTGGATGACAAAACACCACAGGAAGCATGGAGCGGTCAAAAGCCTTCAGTGGCTCATCTCAGAGTTTTTGGTAGTGTGGCCTATGCACACATACCGGACCAGCTCAGAACCAAGCTCGAGGATAAAAGCAAGAAATATGTTTTTATTGGATATGATGAAAAAACAAAGGGGTATAAGCTGTTTGACCCCGTCAACAAGAAAGTCATAGTGAGCAGAGATGTAAAGCTCAATGAAGCAAATGAGTGGGACTGGAGCAATTCATCTGAGATAAACTTTGAAGACGGAATCACAACACAAATTATCAACCCGGCGAGTCCTGAAGCTTCTGATGATGAAGACGAGGTACGACAACCCAGGATGCGGAGCATACAAGACATATATGAGTCAACAAGTGAGGTACATTTTGTTTGTCTTCTTGCAGATTCTGAAAATAAAAGTTTTGAAGAAGCCATCCGAGATAAGAAATGGCAAGACGCCATGGATGAGGAGATTGAAGTCATTGACCGAAATAACACATGGGAGTTAGCCGAGCTACCAAAAGGAAGTCGGCCCATTAGAGTGAAGTGGGTGTTCAAGAAGAAGATGAATGCTCAAGGGGAGATAGAACGATATAAAGCTCGGCTAGTTGCAAAAGGTTATAAGCAGAAGGCTGGAATTGACTATGACGAGGTGTTTGCCCCTGTTACAAGGATGGAGACAATTCGGCTACTCATCTCACAGGCTGCTCAATACAGATGGCCAATACATCAAATGGATGTAAAGTCGGCATTCCTGAATGGTGTTCTTGAAGAAGAAGTTTATGTGGAACAACCGTCGGGCTACATGAAGGCAGGAGAAGAGAAGAAGGTGCTGAGATTGAAGAAAGCACTTTACGGGTTGAAGCAAGCACCACGAGCATGGAATGCTCGTATTGACAAATATTTCAAGGAGAATGGACTTGAACAATGTCCATATGAACATGTTGTTTATGTCAAGAAAAATGGAGGAGACTTGTTAATTGTGGCTCTTTATGTTGACGACCTCATTTTTATGGGAAACAATGCCAAGATGATACAAGAGTTCAAGAGCACAATGACAAGAGAGTTCGAAATGACAGATCTCGGTTTTATGAAGTTCTTTCTCGGTTTGGAAGTAAAACAAAATGAGAAGGGAATTTTCGTGTCACAGGAGGCTTATGCAAAAAAGATTTTGAAAAAGTACAAGATGGAAGATTGCAACCCGGTTTCAACACCAATGGAACCCGGTTCAAAACTTTCTAAGTTTGATGGAGGAGACCGTGTTGATGCAAGCAAGTACAGAAGTTTGGTGGGAAGCCTACGCTATCTCACATGCACGAGGCCGGATATCTCGTTGAGTGTCGGCATAGTAAGTCGGTTCATGGAGGAGCCAAGATACACACATTGGAAGGCGGTAAAGAGAATTCTGAGGTATGTTCAAGGTACAGTTTCACACGGGTTACACTACTCGAGCTCGGCAAAATACAAGTTGATTGGATATTCTGACAGTGATTGGTGTGGAGACGTAGATGATCGAAAGAGCACGGCTGGTTATGTGTTTTTCATGGGCAACACGGCATTCACTTGGATTTCGAAGAAGCAACCTATTGTGACACTGTCGACATGTGAAGCTGAATATGTAGCTGCATCTTGGTGTGTTTGTCATGCAATGTGGCTCAGGAATTTGCTAAGCAAGCTGGAGGAAAAACAAGTCGGCCAAACTGTGATCCGAATTGACAATAAGTCGGCTATAGAGCTAGCCAAGAACCCGGTAAATCATGAAAGAAGCAAGCATATTGACGTCCGATTTCACTTCATCCGGGATCAAGTAAAGGAAGGAAATGTGGAGCTAACACACGTGACCAGTCAAGAGCAAGTCGCGGATATCTTCACGAAACCACTACCGACGGTACTCCTTGACAACTACAAGAAATTGATCGGCATGAATGATGGCAGAAGCATTTAAGTTTACGGGGGAGTTTTGTTGAATAAACGTTAAATGTGGAGTTATGTGTCAGTTTAATTTTTAATGGGTTTAATTCAGCAATCAATTTAGTTTTTAATGGGTTTAATTCAGCAAACGTTAAATGTCAGTTTTATGTTTTTAAGTTTCTGAAATTATGTGAGTTTATTGTGATGTTAAGTGTCTTTATTGTAGAGTTACAAGTTTTGTAATTTAAAAATCTATTGTTTGAATGAAAAGTTACGACTTCTGCCTTAGTAAAAATCCTTTATTTTACTCTTCTCCTAACAACTATTCACCTATAAAGTTAGACACCAAAAGTACTCGAGACAGGAGTGATCACAAAAGCAGGACAACTGACCAATGAAGATTCAAACCATTCACTTGGGGTAATGGACACCATTTATGTAAAATTATTATATGAGCCATGATGGAGTGAACTAAAAGGAATGGAGATCAAAGCAAGCTTCAACTGAAGAGAGGAACTAACACAAGTGTATTTCCAAGGCTAATGCCCTGTCTTTGCTGGCAAATCACATGAACTTTATCAAGTATTTTTATAGGGTTTTATGAATATAATTTTGCATGACACTTCTTGTGTATTGTCATAGACACATAAACATTGTGGGTCCCACTGCCTAGAAAAGGAGAAATTTTTTTTGGAGTGGATCCTACACCTTTTTGAGTGTGTAGGAAAAAGAAGTAGTGTCATGTAACATGACACTTCTATTTCCCTTTTTTATATTACTTAGAATATATTTTTTATTTTTGCAACCCCCCCCCCCCCCCCCCCCCCCCCCTGCGCGCCTGCGTAATGTCCACCACTGCATGCAAATATGAAATTGAAATTGTCTCTGTTTGCATTTGCAAATCGAGTAGGAATTGGCTTAGTTGGAAGTTGGAACATCAATTTTACATTGCTTGGTGATTGCTCGAGTAGGTATTATCTTAATGTTTTTTCTTTTGTTTTGGTGATTGGAGCTGGTTCTTCTTTATGCTTATTTTGACTTGTCATTGAACTTTTGTTGGTTAGTGTGCTTTTATTAACTTTGCTGTGTTAATTCCAGGTGCGCTTATCACTGCTGGTGTGCTAACGGCTGGCTTAATCAGTTTTAGACAAGGTAATTCTCACTTAGGTCAGAAGTTAATGAGGGCTCGTGTGGTTGTCCAAGGTGCAACGGTGGCGCTCATGGTTGGCACTGCCTATTATTATGGAGAAAATCCTTGGCGATCGAGTTAAACTTTGAATGGCCAAAAAAGAAAAGTTCTAACTTTGGAATTGCTTGGTTTCTTGTTGGTTTGAGTTTATCCTTTCCAACATCTTACTTTTGAAACTTCTTACAATGCATAACAATTGAATTCTTATGAGTGTACTTTGATATATACTTTTTTCAATAAAATAAACAACTCTCAATTGACTGTTGCAATCTGGAGGAATCGGGTTGGGAGCTTAAACAGCGAGAGAATCATCTTGATTATGGAAGCTACCCTTGAATTTTTACACTTTCTTAACACCTTTCTTTCGTGAGAAAAGGGACAGATAGAAAAGGAAAATGTGTATTTTCCACTTTAGGTCTAAAAGAAATGTATAGTCGACTAACATTTTTCTTGCAAACCTATTGATGCCATTACAGCACAATATGTCTGACATAAAAATAAACACTACAAGACAAAAGAAAATAAAGAAACAAAAGAGAAAAAGCCAAAAGGAAAGAAAACTAGTAAAACCAAAAGCTGCAAAACTATAACTTTCATGATTTTATTTCAGTGCATCCATTTTAGTTCCAGAAAAGAGTTTGACAAAGCAAATTATTTCTTCAAAAAATTAACCTGACTCGAGGTCTCTCTAGGCTTCCGAAGGTTTTGTTTTTGGTTCATTCTTCCAAAGTTTTTAAACTCTTTTAAATTAGTGTATATGGTAGTTGTTCTGTTGGGATGATGTGTCTAGTCAACTAGTAAGTTGATTTTGGATCTGATGTTCTCTCTAAGATGTCTATAAAAGAGATATCCTTGAGGTTGCAGATCACTGTGCACGAGTATGAACGACATTTGCCAATAGGGTGGTATGTGTGCACAGTGACCGCATAATAGTAAGAGAGAGATTAGATAATACCTGTAGGCTTTATCTCTTGTTTATAGAATTTACCTGTGGGTAGCAGAATCTTGGACCTTATTTGGGGGCTCAAGTCCAACTGCATAGCTGTTTGGATAAGATTGTCATAAATAGGAGTTTATCTTCCTTATTCACATGACTTTCCTTTTATGTTGCCCCTTATTGGGTCTTCTAAAATATGGGCCTCTTATGAGCCGCCCATAATAGTTGCCCCCCAACTCGATAAGTTGAGTATCCGAGCTATCAGGATGCTGATGTGTCTGAGGTGAGCTTTATACCAAGGCTCATATAACCAGATTATGATTTTGATGACGAACCGGGTTCAAGTAAATCTTTGAATGTTATGTTGATGATGTAGATCCCAGTATGCGAGCTTTGCGCGAAGCTCGACCATTTATGCATATGGAGATTGGTCGTGTTTTAATCTAAGGTTTCACATTTTGGTTGAATTTAAACGACTCTTGGATATATCCCGTCTTATGCCTTGCGACTGAGCTTTTCTTTGTGTGGATTTTTACTCACACCCTGGATTACAAATTCGGGTCCATACTTTACATTTTATATCTTCTGAGTAATGATAACGCCTTTACATATGACATTTTTTTATTGGTACGACATGCTTTGAGGACTGCTTGCCGTGTTAGCACACTGCTCGCATTCAGTGCTGGTTGTCAGAACGTCTCTTTCGACCATGTATTTTGCGGTGATTTGACAATTTTGCCCCCACCTTTTTGATTTTGCACACCAAACCATTCAATCATTTCCATCGCTTCAACTTCCCCTACTCTTTTCAATATCATCATTTTCCTATCTGGTATTACTTCATTAGTTCATTCCTCCCCTCCAACTTCGCAGAGCTTCGAATCTCTTCACCTTTTCAGGTACCTCTACGATTACCTGGAACAGTGACCAAAATGCCACTGTTCATTAACTTTTTTACCAAATGTCACGCGAACAGTATTATTTTCCAATATGCCACGCGCGCAAGTTCGCTACAGTGTCCAGCGAACTTCATTTGCTGATGTGGCATCTTTTTCATATCTAGTTCGCTACTGACAATAGCGAACTATGTGTCAGTCGTTGACTTGAATAAGTTCGTTGCATAGTGCAGGGAACTACATCCCTATATGTAGACACAGTCTCCTATATGAACAACAGTAAAAGCTTCCTATATGAACAACAGTAAAAGCTGGCCCCAAAATAATGGAAACTTTATTCTCTTAACATTTAGTCAAATTAAAAGACCAATAGTTGGCAAAAGGTTCAACCACACTTCTATTTCACCTCTGTTAATGCTTTCGGTTGAAAATATTTTCACCTCTGTTATTGGCAAAAGACCAGCTTTTGTTCATATTTAATGTACAAAATAAATAAATATACACAAATGTTATGTTTGTTCGGGCGATTTTGTTCATATTTGCTTTGTTGCCTATTAACACGTTTTATGTATATTTGGTTTTGATTAAATTTTCAAAAAAGTTATGTTGTCTTTAAAAACTCTTTCAATAAAATTTTAAGTATAAACTATTTCACAAAAAAAAAGTAAATTTAAAATCAATGAAAATTTTAAGTAAGTATTTAAACTTAACGTACAAATTATCCACTTTATTTCTAAGTCTTTAGAAAATTGTTACTAGCGTTCTAATTTTAACTAATATATTTTTTCTACCTTTATTTATTTTCTTAGTTTTAAAAAAATAAAAATTGTGTGACCTTTACCTGCAAATAAGAAAGTCCAAATTAAAATAGCTAAAGCAAGGAGCACTTTTTAAGACACTAACGCGCTAAAAAAAAGGACCAGCTTTTACTGTTGTTCATATAGGGTACTGTGTCTACATATAGGGATGTAGTTCGCTGCACTATGCAGCGAACTTATTCAAGTCAACGACTGACACATAGTTCGCTATTGTCAGTAGCGAACTAAGTATGAAAAAGATGCCACATCAGCAAATGAAGTTCGTTGGACACTGTAGCGAACTTGCCCGCGTGCCATATTGAAAAATAACACTGTTCGCGTGGCATTTAGGTAAAAAAGTCAGTGAACAGTGGTATTTTGGTCACTGTTTCCGATTACCTTTCAGTGTACCTGCATTTTGTCCAAGTTTATTTTTGAAATCTCATTTACTTGTTATACTCGTATATTTGCTGAACATGTTAGCACCATTGATAAATTCTTGTCCTTGAATTCATTCTTGTCTTCCTGGGTTCTTTAAAGTTGCTAAAGAAGACTATTTTTGTGTTTTTCCACCACTTGGGATTCGCTTTCTGAGTAGGATCTCTTGGGTAATTTTACGCCTTATGGGTATTTCTTTATATACTCTTTTCCCCAAAAAATTCATAAATGAGTGTTAGGAAGGATCAGTGACCGAGGAAAACCAACATGTCAAAGGGGATTTGGTCGAGGTGATGAAATGGAAGAGGATGATAAAGAATTTCTAGAAAGTTTACCAGCCGGGCCAAACTTTTGGTTTTGGGGTATTCCTCGAACCGAAGAAGAAAAGCAAGCATTAATGCTTCAAGGTTACCGTGGTGGAGGTGGTAAAAAAAAAAGCTAAATCAAAACTTCCATCAAGCCAAGGTCATGCTCGACAATCAATAAATCTGGGTTTTAACCCTTTAACTTCTTCTGCCATTATTTTTGCAACCAATGTTACTTCTCGGAAACAAGGATCTGAGATATTAGTGCCTCTTTTTGCGCTTCCTCCAAAAACACGAAGGATCAGAATGCTGAGCATCCAATCATTGATCCTTTGATCCGAGATCCTCCCTCTGTAGCTACCTCTTTAGCCCTAACAACCTAGATCAAAGATCTTAATTCTGGAGCTTGTCTTGCTTGTCCTTTATTAAGCTCTAAACTCGCCAATCATGGCGTGAAGTCTCTAGCTGAATCAACCTTATTGCATTGCATCCATTGTTAGAATCCAGTGGAGCCAAGACCTATCTTTGGGAATGTATCCCGACCAATAGAGATATCAGATGAGACTTCTAGCTCGTCTAATAGTTGTTATTTTTCTTCAGGTATGTGAATTCATTTTTTGATTTTAGTTTTCATTGTTCTAGGTTTTTATAGACTCACCCTCTGCAGAGGTAGAAATTGAGATATCCTCAATTGACCCAGGGCATGAACCACCCTGTGCCGAGTAGATAGCAGAATACCCTCGGGTCATTCCTGAGGTTTTAAGCATTAAATCTAACATGAGTGTCGAGGATGTAGCAGGGCTTCCCATTGGTAACCCAGTGGGCTACAATGTCTTCCCCTTACTGAGGATGAGCATGTCTGTTCAGGGAGAAATTCAAAAAAACCTCATTCCTTCTTTTATCGCGACTTATTTACCAAGGTCGGCTTTCGATTTCCCTTTTCCGAATTCCAGATAGATTTATTGAATCATCTCCATCTCGCCCCATTTCACATACATCCTAATGTCTGGGCATATGTGAATGCCTTCAAACAACTATGTTCGTCATTAAATTTGCACTGTATTGTGTCTCTCTTCCTCCACTTTTTCAGTGTATACACATCCCGAATAGGATCTGAACCACCCGAGTTGAAGGGTTGGACCAGTATAGATGCATACCATCCACCTGTATAACTGGTTTGCACCATTTGAACGCCTCACGACATTGACTGAAAGTCCATAAAACATGTTGAAAAACTTGAAACCCATTAACAACCTACAGATTGATGATATATGATTCATCTTGAATATGATAAACAGATCCCGAGGAAAAATGAAATATGTACTCGAACCATCTTGGCAGGAACACATATGACTCATCCTAATCACCATAAATCTTAGCAACTGTTTTTTTGTTTTGCCTTCCACGCGTTCCTGTAAGAAACATGAAATCCAAAGAGACCAGACACCCTTTCTTGTAGCAAGATCACAGCTACTGAAGGTCAAGCCTTGACCATTTCTGTAAAACCATTCATTACACTTGCGCATTAGGAATGTTATTTATGTTCATTGATAAACATAGATAATTATCAAAACGAGCACATAATATTGGACATTGTACCTATTATGGCCTCAGAAATAAATCTAGAATCAAGTTATCTGTGATCTTGGTAGAGTTATTTGCTCACACAACTATGATTTCCAACCCATTTACTAACCACCCAAGTGTTGTTATTCTTCGATTTAATTGCTTTTACTCGCCAATTGTAACCTTGTTCATGGTTCCGACATTTCATAGACAACTTGGTCGTAGTACTCTTAACCACTACAGCTTCTTGATATTCCTACATGCAATAATGTTTTATTGTGGCTTAGACATCGTGCTTGGACCCGAACTCTTTTTTC